AGTGGAAACTGAACTATTATCTTCTTTCCTAAGCTGACTATCCCCACGTTCCCAGACCTCCTCTTCCCACGGGAGCACCAGCAGAAAGCTTGGGCAAATCTTTCTAGTGTCTTCACTCAGGTCCCGGATGGGTCTGAGTCATCCAGACAGAAATGATGACTGCTGAATGGGTCTCTGGAAAGAAACTAAAACCACCCTCCTGGCTTTTCACAAGTGTATTTAGACCAGAGAGATTAGAAAAATCAAATAAGATTATAAATCTGTGTTTATGCCATCAAAAATGTTAAGTTAAAAAAGGAAGGGGTTAATAAATAATTCACTAGACACCTGTACAAATATTTTGATTACCAAAACCATGCATACTCATTTTAAAAATGCAACTATGGGCACGATGATAAGTGCAAAATCCACTGAATTATATTCATTTTCTTTAATATACAATACTTCGAATTATCTATAATTAACTATGGTATTTATCCACGGTTCATTATTTAGTTACAATTTTTAAAAAAGCAAATGAATCAACATAAAAATTTAAATGGCAAGCTACTCATTTACTTGCAATAATGGTTATAATTAAAATGACATTAAAATTCATTTAACCCACCTGTCTTAGTTCCACTGTTGGGCCTCTTCCCACATCCAAAGCAACCTTAATAGGAGCTAAACAAGGGTGCAGTTTAAGTACCTACAGCAATTGAAAGAGAAGCAGGGCAGGGAGGACAACACAGCTTATTTAAATATAACACAAGCACTAACAAACATGAAGCATCTTAAATAGCTAAAATTTCCTATGTGAAAATGGAAGCTAGCTGAAGTCATTAAAAAAATCATGTAATGGTATATTCAGCTGTCTATATCCAGTTGTGCATGGGTTTCTCCACTTCAACAGATGCTCTGTGCACCTGATGCCCTCCCATTTTCTGACAACTCCATTTTCCCTTAAAATGCCCCTTCCTGTGATCACTGCCTTCCCTACCCTGCTGGGATCATGTAGCTTATCATCTGGACACTCTCTTACCAAAACCCACAACTTTTCTCATTCATTCACCCATTCAACAAGCATTTGAACAGCCACTTGATGCCAGAAACAGTTCTAGGTGCTGGGGACAAAAATCACTGTCATTCATGATGGGAAGAAACAGATAATACACAAAATAAGTAAATAATATATCTGAAGGTGGTAAATGCTATAAAAAAAAGGAGAGGAGAAATGCTGGCAAAAAAGGTTGGGGGAGGGTTGTTTGCAATTTTAAATAAGTGGCAAGAGAAAGTTTCTTCTCTGAGGTGACATTTGAGCAAAGACTAGAAAGGAGGTTGAGGAACAAGACACGGGGATATGGGAGGAAGGCATTCCAGGCAAACGGGAGAACAATGACAAGGCTCTAAGCTAGGAGCATGCCTGGCATGGTTGCTACACATATGCTATAAATCCCAGGCCCCAGAACAGTTTTATAATGACTTTCTATATGGCCATATCATACTAAATGAGTACTGCATAATACATCACTTAACTATGCAGAGTGATGCTACAAACTTATGATTTCCAATTCCAGTTGAATCCTTGACATGTTAAAACTTTTGATTTGGGGCAGCTCCCTTTCACATTCTAGGGGAATATGACTATTTTAAACTCTTGCCACTTAAACTCCTACTCCTCCACAGTTTAAGCTAATAGTCTTGCCTCCTAATTCCCTAAGAAAATATAGGGTATGAGTAAAACTTCCCCTATTTATATCTATACAATTGTTTCTTTCCTCCCTGCTGTTCTGAATAACTCTTTTTAAGACAAGTCCCTCTACTCTTATACTCTTGATGCTGTTTGAGCCCTCCTGTTTCTTCCAAAATCTTACTCCATTAGTCATCTCTTTTCTCTTGTACAGATTCAACCCCTTCTCTTTCTTGATTTTGAGTGCTGCCCTCCCCTGTGCCCCCCTCCCCCAAAAAGAACTGTTTATCCTAAAATAAGCCTTTCTCTTGACTAGGCCCATATCTAGTTCCTGTGATCCACTAATCAGCCACTGGGGTCAGATCAGAAGCAAAGAGGTCAATATGGCAAGTCTTGCTGGTCTATCTTATTTATTCCTGCTTAACACTCAGCTTCTGATGCAAATGGAGGCTATCAATGGAAAGGCTCAGATACTAGGAATCAGAGACAGCTGCCAAGCTCCCCTGGATCCAACAGAAATGCCTTTGGGACAACCCAAAAGGGATGTCTTGTTCTATTCTGTGGGAACCTGATTATTATCTCTGTGGCCAGATTCTAAAAGAACTGAAAGATACTTAAATTACTTGCACTAAAATAAATTTATTATTCAGAGTTTAGGTTAGTTCTAAGGGGGGGACATTTTTAGTTTCCCAAGTCTACCTCTGAAATATCAAAAGCACCTTTCTATGAAGATTTTTCTTTCTTGTAAAGGAGTTCTCTGTTAGCTGAAAAGAATCGTAGAGGTAAGCCAGCATGCCTCGGTCTAGATCTCCATTTATAGATAAAACAGAAGGAACCACATTTTTTCGTCCATCTCGGCCCTCCACAGAAAAATAGAACAAAAATAAAATATTTTTAGCAGATCTCTTAAAATTAAATATCTTTGACTTATAGAATCAAAATACAAATTGATCAATAAATCTAGATGGAATGATAAAATTAATTTTAAAAATACCACCATTTGGCAATGCTCATGGTAATAACTGATTTGGGCAAGAATCATCAATCGATACTGTAACCGGTAGGTCAAAATTTGGTGAAAAACAAGTTAGATACACAGTTTTAAAGTATCCGCTTACAAAAGACATTAATTACTCATTAAAGACTTATTAATTAATAAAATACTTATCAATTTTACATTGGAGAAACTGGTAGCACCATCCTAACCAAGTGATAAAAGTTAACATCACCAGTAAACTTTATAACATGTGCCTCCTGACACAATGCATCGAGAAGAGGGCAGCATCATTTCTGTGGCTGAGGAAACATGAAACGTTTCTTTCTACATTCTACAAAGTAACTGGCCTTTACTCTTCAAAAATATCAAGGTCACGAAAGACAAGGAAAAATAAAAGGAACTGTTCATTTGAAAGAGACTAAAGATACATAACAATTAGGTGAAATATGCGGTCCTAGATTGGATCCCGGACTTATAAAGGGCATATTGGAATAATCTGTTATATCTAGAGAGTTCTATAGATTGGATGGTAATAGTGGATTACTATTACTTTCCTGATTTTGCTGGCTACATTGTGGTAAGAGTCCTTGCACTTGAAAAATACACACTGAAGTATCAAGAGGTCATGGTGCACCATGTCTGCCGCTTATTTTCAAATGGTTCAGAAATGATCACAGAGAATCTGTGTAAAGGATACATAGGCGCTCAAGGTAAAACATACATGTAATTGAGACACACTTCCAGGATACATGTGTAAAAGTTCATGATCTCCTAGATTCCACAGGGTTTCTATTGGCTCTTTTCCCCAGGGAAAATTGTAGAAAAGTTTGTTTCCTTTTCGTCCTTCTTCATCTTGACAATCACTGCTGCTGAAGTTCGATGGACTCACAGCAAACTGGAAAAGAAAGTTTAAGTCTGTCTTATTAACTTGTAAATGTTAAAAAGTAAAGTTGCCTGAGACTTTTTATGCAGCAACTGAATGAAAATGGTCAAGTCCCAAATAAAAATTGTGGAGTTTAATTAAATATGACTGACTATATTGCTAAAAATACTGTTGGTTAGTCTGAAAAAAACTAGAGAAAAACTGTCAATTAATTAGAAGGAAGGTAACCAAGAACTAAGTAGGATAAAGAAGAAAGAATCACATACTCATCATTCTTATCCTTCTGTGAAGAGCTTGATTATTTGTGATTATTCCACTTTGTGTGTCTAGGTGGGTGCTTGGGGGTTTTATGAGTTGGAGAAAGATAAGACAATGGCAAGACAAAATGTTTACTTCAATTCTTTTCTCTTCAGCAAATACTAAAACCTGATAACATATTACAGAACTATTTTGACTAATATGAAGAGTTCATGAAAGTAGGAGAAAAAGTCAAAGCTGTTAAGAGTGGGCAAGGGTCAAGCTCTATACTAGCCAGGAAT